TGCCTTTCTTAGGACCCTGCTGCTTCCTTTACCATAAAAAATTAAAATATGAACTACATCAAGGGAACTAATTAGGGAAATATTTGAATACCAAACATTCTTCTTCCTGCCCCCTAGGAATTAATAACAGCCCCACTTCATTCAGGTAGCATTAATTAATGCTGGTAAGGCATATTAACATACGCTAGTATGGCAAACATGATAGCTTAAACTTCAACAGAACTCTTCCCCCAGGTTGTCTGGTCAAAGCGTTCCCCCTCTGGATGAAATGATTTGGGCTTAATTGCTGCACTTTTCCTCCTAGAGTCTTATTTACCATCCTACATGAGGAACACTGGTATTAGTTGTAAAATTTTAGGCTTTAAATGTAAGAATCAACACACTGGAGAGGATCCTAGGACAGCCAATGACCTGAGAAGAATTCCTCATAAGGCGTATGGGACCATTCCCTCCTGGGACTCTGGTCAGCCAACTCATCGAAAATTACATCCCTGCAATGATCCATAAGCCCCAGCAAGATTAGGAGCTGTCATGTGTCTGACTATAACACGACCTAACCCTTCTCAGCTCTTCTACTCTAGTCACAGTTGCTGATTTTGACCCTCTGCATGGTAACACTGGTTTTAGTACACAACTTCACATGGTACACTGTACCACACACTCAAGTCACTGATCAAATGGGCTTAAACTGAGATATTTTTCCCTTTCCTATTCTATATGAAATCATGTTTCTAACCCCCCTTAACTATCTAAATATTTTCTTGTTTTCAGGAATATGTATGTTAAAAATCTTTAATATCTGTCTCACCATAAGTAGGATGAAGTGTTTTCATGATAGGTCTTCGCTTGACATACAGAAATGCATTAAACGTTCCTATTAGTCAAATAGGGTTTCAAATCTGAATTGTATCAATTACATGCCAGTGAAGAGTATACTGTAGCCACTTTCTCATTCATAAAAATGGCATAATGAATATACATATTATTATACATATCATAAAATCGGGTAATTATGAATAACAATAATACAACAATGTGTAGTCATTAACCTCATAAGGAATTACAAGAGTGCTTGTTTTATGAGAGGTGCTGTATAAATGTTTCACTATGTCTTTTTATATATTATAATCTTTTTCTATATAAAAATATGGTCCCTTCATGAAGAACTAATTACATGAACAAATATTTCTAATCTTGTATGTGCTTATAGCACATGAAGTATGTAAATTTAAAAGAACAGAATTACAGAAAGAACGTTAATGTGTAACCATAGTGGAAAATTTCACAGCCATCGGGTCTGGATACAGTTGTCGTCTCCCTTGGCACAAGTGTGGACTGGAAAAAGACGTACCGGGCCGGGCCAGACCGCAACACCTTCTGGTGCTTTGGAGGACCAAGGTAGATGTGGGATGGACTAGGCTAGGTCCCAACCTCAACTGAGCCATATACGAGCTATATGGGGATGTGGACGACCATGGCTGGGCTGAAACACTCTACAGCAAGAACCAGAATGGGATGATGGCCAGTTAGGAAAGGCCACTGTTCCTGCTAGGACAGGAGGCGAACTGGCACATGGACCCACTGGTATGCACGAAACCTGGCACATGGAGGGGTTCTGATGGAGGAGCTCGGGCAACTCCTCTGGCAGGACACAGACCCTGCAGGTCAGCGCAAGAAACATGGAAGGTAACAGCCAAGAGGTCATGGAAAGTGTCCCACTGGCATGCATTTGGCATGGGTTGGGGGCAGACCAGGCTGAATCTGTTCAAGTCATCCACTGGTAAATCCAAACGCCAGAACAGAGTGTGGGTCGAACCAGGTCCGGTCGTGACAAAAGCAACACACAATTTGGAATGCCAAGGTGAGGTAGCCTGAGCTGGATGCAGCCACAGCACCCAACCAGCACAAGTGAGAGCCAGGAAAGGAGGAGGCAGAGCTGACAGGGGAATAAGGGGTGGTTCCCTAGCTGAACAGCAACTTACACTGAGGAGTGTGAGCTGGGTAGGGGGTAGATCAGACCAGGCAGGGACACAGCACCTGTGCACCTCATATGGACCAGATTGGGTGAAAACCAGGCTGGGCTGACTAGTGCCACTGGTGCAAGCTACAATCAGAGTTGGTGAGGGTTGCTGGGGCTTAGTTGTAGCATCAGCTGGCGGAAGCTGGTACAAAGGGTTAGACACGTTGAATTGAATCACATGGACAACTAGAGAGGGCACAAATGGAATGGGAGTGACCTGGGAGGGAAATAGTGGGCTCCTCCCTCATGGGTCAACACTTTCCACGGGAGGGCATGGGAACTAGGACAGTGGCTGGGGTGGCTAGACAGACACCCAGCAACATCCGTTAGGGATGGTTGGATGGAAGTAGGTTGCAACACCTGTTGGCAAGTATATGAACAGAAGGGTATTTGGGACAGACTGGACTAGTATGCCATACATACTGGCAAGCCAGGGTAGGGGGTGGGCCTGGTTGGGGTTACTGTGGGCCACCCTGACTGGTCTGCAACTCCTACTGGTACGTGCGTGGTCCAAGTATGTCCAGGGTGGAACCAGGTCGGACTGCAAGAGGGCACGGGTGGAGACAGAACCGACCCAGCAACTGCAACCACCAGCTGATCGGGGCAATGGACTGTGCCGGGCCCTATGCTTAATAGAACACGCAGATATCTGGACTGTGGATACCTCAAAATTTCTTTGAGGATCTCCCCAGTCGAGACACCGGACTCAGAGTCCTAACCAAGAAAAGACAGAACAAGTCAAGCAACAACCTCAGCTATCTGTTGGCAGCAAAATACTGGGCAAATGGAGACTCTAGAAGGGACTGTGTCAATCAATGGACTCTTCAACGACCACATCGTTCTTGGAGTGGCAAGACTGGCAGCGACCCATGAATGGTGAACTACTGGAACCACTTGATCGAGTATCTCAGAGCATGCCCCACATCTGGGAATTAGGGTAGTTGGGAAACTGGGTGGGGCTTCTTCCTCTATATCCCCCTTTAGGCCTTGAACCTTTTTTTACCCCAATTAAATATGTAAGGATTGTCAAAAAAAAAAAAAAGAAAAGAAACCGAATACACAAACTGTATTTGAAAACACAATTAGGCTGTGTTCACATACTGTTCCAAGTAGCAGAGAATATGCATTTTTTCAAAGAAACATGAAACATGAATAAAATGAATAGGTTTATCGGTTACTCCATTTAGCTGAAAGTTACTGCTACATCAACTCAAAAGTGAACCGCACATTACTTGGGGTTGAACTAAGTCGATGATGCATTGCCCTTAATCACAGAAGCAACTTGGAGCTGCTAGTTAATGAGAAGCTTCTGAGGAATGCAAACCACTGACTTTCTTCTTCTGTTTACTGGACTGTGGCTTTTGTCACCATGGTCCAAAAAATGGCTCTTCAGATTCTAGAATATGAGACCACATGCAAAAGAATGAAAAAAACAGGGAAAAAATCTTGTGTCCACCCACCCCCATCACTGACTGACCTACTCCTTAGGACTAGCACCGTGCAACAACACCTGGGTTAGCTTCAGGAAAACCCTGGAAAGGATATTTTCACTACTGTTCATGAACAACTGGAATAACTTCTTTCTTTTTTTCCCCCTTCTTTCTTTAAATAAATAAGCAAGGGAAAATGACTACTAGTGAACAGACTCACAGTATTTGCCATGTTAGAACAGGAAGAGGAATAGTTGATGGATGTCATGTTCTTGCCTATACTCAACCCTGAGAAACACACTTGAAATCAGCTTCGGTTCCCTGAATATCATTCTGAATTGGGGAATGCTAAGTCTTCAACTTCTTGAAGACTTAAATAATAGTGGTTTCAACAAAGACATATCAGTTATGCCCTGTGTAATGGACATGTGACCCAGCAAACAAGCTTAAAGACACTCTCTACATAGCTTTTAAGCAGATATCAGAAATTGGGGCAAACACTGATCCTTGGGATATCAAATGAAATGTAAATCCTCATACAGGAGACCAATATAGAGAAAGACACAAACCTATGTTACGTCCTTCTAAGAGTTAATGGAGCTAACAACAATATGTCATGGTAGAACTGAGTGGATTACATAAACACATGTTTAGCAAGTTAGGCTTAGAAGGTATTAGAAGGTATCTTTTATCAGGACAGGTGAATTATGAACAATTTATTTCATGGAGTTGCACATTGTTGACCCAATCAAACTGAACTTTCATTTCACTTTTCAAACTTTGAAGCTTAGCCCAGTGATTAGGCACTGGAGGGACACGCACAATAATCCAAGTGGTGAGTCAATGCCTTGGAGACTGAGGCAGTTGAAGTGCTAAGATTCTTCTCCACCAGTTGGAAGCCTGATTTTAGGAGAATGATTGCCAAAAAATTCCAGCAAGAAGTGCACTTCGAGATAGTTCCCACAGAGCCACTCCCCATTGATTGAGGAGATGTTCCTACCATTTTCAATATGTGACCCTCTTGATAAAGTGTCCCTTGAGTTAATGAACCAGATTGCATGTGTGTGTGTGTATGAATTCCAACACTAACTCTCTAAAACTTCCAAAGTTCTCAAAATGAACATAACATTTTTGTCCCCTGGGTAAAATCTTCAGAGTTGATACTCCTGTTTGCAGTAGAGGAGTTAGGAGAGTCCAAAGCAGGTTGTTTTTTCAGAGGTGTTTTTGCTCATCGTGGACACTGGCAGGTGCACAGCCTCAGGGCACAGTGATCCCCTGAGTTCTGATCACAAGGACAAGAGGCCATGGCCTCACTGATGGGATGAACTGTGAAGCATCTCCCTTTGGATTTGTGTCCCTGTGTGGCTCCACAGACTTGCATACACTGACTACAAGTAGTGGCATACAGCAGGACTGGAGATAGAAATGGGAGTTCCCTGCATGCTGCTTTAGCCTCCACAGAAACAGCTAAGAATGCACAAAAACCAGCTCCAATTCTCCTACTATCTGAAGGTGCTTGCGGCTTGAACCCTGTAATGGGTTGCTATACCATGCCATTGCCTGTCATGTTTCTGTGCCTGCTCCTGAATGCTTGGGGCAGTTCCCAGGACAGTCATCCCCAGTACTGCTATAAGCCATTGGGCCCCAGTTTCGATGCTGATGGAGACCTGCTGCTGGGTGCCTTTTTCCCCCTTTACTACATGAAACCAGAAGCAGCCAGGATCCGTTTATCATTCCTAACCCAGCCAAAGGATGAAGTAGCAGCAGACAGGTAAGCCCAAGGTTGACTTGTGTGTGAGCTGTGCTTATGTCTGTGTGTGAGTGTCTGCTTAATCTCCCTGTGCTTTCTCACTCTTCAGAATTCTCAACAATGTATACAGAAGCTGCAGCAAGACACACAGATGAAGGCTGGTGTGTCCTTCCTCTCTTTCCCTTTAATATGCTTCCATTCCCACTTTTCTATTTGCTCTCCCCATGCCTTCAAACACAGATTAATGAGAAAAAGCAAGAGTTAGAAATGGAGGGTGAAAGAGAAGAGAGGAAATATTTCATATACTCTCCATTGATCTGAGTCCTCACTAGCTCCTGAAATTTCTGAAATGAATGAGGCAGACAAAGCTTTATTCTCAACCTTTCCATCCCAGAGCAAACCACATGCAATGGTGATTTGGCATGAGGTCAGTGTAGGTCTAGGCTCTCAGTCTAAAGAATTGCTTTGAAAAACTGTTCCTGAGAGCTCAGCCTATTGTGTCTGAGATCCACCACCCTCCATGCAAGCTTCTACACACAGAGATCAGAAATTGGATCTTTCTCAGTACAAGACTTGTGAGCACCTGATGTTGATTCAAGGTGATCATCACTGTCACAGTCCCCATTCCTGTTTTCAGTGTGTCCCCATTTCTCAGTACTTCCATCCCGTCCAAGGGTACTACCAGTTCACCTGGTGTGTCCTGGATCTTCCACAGATAAGCATTTCATATGAACTGACTCATAGCATTTGGGATCTTTTGCAAACGGCACCCATCACTGCACAATAGGTTTTGTCCAGGCTGTGCCTTGCAGCATTTGCTTCTCACAGTAATTTCACATCTAGATTTATATTGACATCCAAATAATTGTGCATGTTTATTAAAAATGACATGTTGTGAAAAGTGTATGTTTTTCATCATTCTGTGTATAATGTTAATCATGTCAGCATCTATATGACTTCAATGCTTACAAGCAAATAATCCATGGAGCCGTTTAGGTCCTGTTCCATTGTGGCCTTGGATTCTAGAGTGAATGCCCAAAGTCATCATTCTGATGATAATTTTTTTTTGAAATTGACACACATGCATTTTGCCATAAATTACATGAGAAGTTTCATAAAAGCAGTAGCAAAGCTACGTATTTTGAGATAACAAAACGTCCAGTCCAACTTATACTAACCAGGGACACTTACTAAACCCCATCCTTCCACTCAAGCTAAATAAAAAACAATGTGCTGGAAAACAATGCAAAACTGAAAAGTTAGAATTCAGTGCAGGAGGAAAAGAATGAATGAAAGTGAAGGAAATGCTGTGAGAAGTCATGTGCCAAATGTTAATTTGTCAGGCAAATATAACTTAACCACTTGCTTCCACAGGAGTTGAAATGTGACAGTGGAATTTTCAGAAAGGGCTCAGGAAGGTGGCTTTCTTGGATCTATTTAAGAGGAAAATACTGTCAAAATATTGGAGTAACTGACAAGCGAGGAAGAATTGAAACCATTCCAAAAATCAGGGATAAAAGAAATGCTTTCTACACTCTGTGTGCCCACAGAGTTCACTCTGTGAACTTTTCCTAGATGGCTCATGGAGGTGCACCAGCAGAGGTGTCCAAGAGCCATTCTGAAATCCTGCAGAGCTCTGCTGAACTCCTTTCTGCACCTCCATAACCACAGCTGAGCTACCCAAGAATGGCACCTGATTCTGTCTATTGTTGCTCAATTGCATTGCTGTGTGGCTGCACTGAATTCCATGGTCTGATCCTCATCTGTGTTGCTGCTTCTCTGTTTAGGTGGCTGTGGAAGAACTACCAATATGTGCTGACCTTTTACTTTGCCATCCAGGAGATCAATAGGGATGAACACTTGCTCCCAAACAAGTCCTTGGGTTTCCAGTGGTACAATGCCTTGGCCAGTAACAGCTTCACACTGTTGAATGCCCTGCACTGGCTGACAGGGGATCATAGCTTGACTCCCAACTACAGGTGCCAGACACGGAGTAAGTCAGTTGTTGTCCTTGCTGGAACAAGCTCAGTGTTCTCTGCTGAAATGGGGACCATTTTGGAGCTCTACAAAATCCCACAGGTGAGTGGAACTTGAATTCTGTTGAGTAAAGTTTTCATCTTCACTCAAGTCACTCTGACATTTTTAAGGAAATGAAAATGTAGAAGTCACTAGCTTCCATTTGGAACTCTGCTAGGACCATGACAGTTTCAAAGGACCCCACAGTGCCACTTAGATCTGATGTCCTCATGCCCTCTGCCTAACTCTGCCCTGCTCATATCCCATCCAGGCCGATTTTAACTCAGATTCATTGCTAATTTCACTGGTTTGATGCAAAGTGAACCGAGTGTTTGTGCCTGTGTGTGTGTATGCCTGTGTGTCTGTGTACATCTTTGAAAGCTGAGAAACAAAAATAAATGTTGTAAGCAATCAGGGCTTGCATCAAATACCGGGTCCCTGCAACCATGCAGGAAATTCTGAAGAGGCTCCTGGCTTCTTCCTTCATATTGCCTCAGCTCTGGATCTTGTATCCAAAATTCAAGCCCCATCTATTCTTATCCTGGATGATGAACTCACACATTTCCTCTAATGACACAAATGAGGTTTCCCATGTGAAACATGCCCTTCTGTGTTCCCACAGGATGCATCGTGGCCATCTCAACTGGAGATTTTCTGTATCCAATAATATTATGTTCAGTTTGTGAGACATATTTTTCATGTTTCTCATGACAGGTAATGCTGATTTTCTTTCAGCTCACTTATGGTCCTTTTGATCCCATGCTGAATGATAAGAAGCAGTTCCCCTCACTCTATCAGATGGCCACCAGTGACAGCTCTCTGGCCCGTGCCATGATCTCCCTGCTGCTGCATTTTGGCTGGACATGGGTGGGACTCTTGGTGTCTGATGACATGAAAGGAGAGCAGTTCAATCAGGACATCCAAGCAGAGATGGTCAAGAGAGGAGTCTGCTTGGCCTTTGCCATCAAGCTCCCTGAGACAAAGACAATGTATGAAAACTCTGACAGCTCTTTCCTTTATTGGCTCAGCATTTCCTCTGCAAATGTGCATATACTGTACAGTAACATCAGGAGCCTCTTTACCATGAAACACCTTGGTACATTCTATCTAACCGTGGGGAAGGTGTGGCTCATGACAGCCAAGTGGGACATTGTTATGGATGAGACACATCACATGTTGCACTCTTTCCATGGGGGCTTTTCCTTCTCACAACACAAGGGCAAAATCCCAGGACTCAAAATTTTCCTCAAGACAGTGAACCCCTCCCACTACCCAGAAGACTTCCACTTTGGTGAATTGTGGTTTCATTTTTTTAACTGCCTACCTACTGGGTCAGGTTGTGGACAATCAGCAGTCTGCCATCCCAATGTTTCCCTTGAAAATTTCCCTGGACACATTGACATGCTGACCGTGTCTGACTCCAGCTATTTTGTGTACAATGCTGTGTACGCAGTGGCCCACGCCCTGCATCGGGTGTTTCTGGAGAAAGAAGAAATGGTTTTCCCAGAAGACACAGCTCAAGCTCTGATTCTTCCCTGGCAGGTAAGCCTCCTCCACAACAGGACATGCTCTCAGCATCACATGGCAGTAGCATCTCACCAGGATATATTCATTTTGACATCAGCATGATAAGTCATGAAAGAAATCAGACTCTTTCTCAGCGTGCTGTATTTCCTGGGACGATTCAGGGTAGCAATGTTTATAACTGCTTTGTAAATCACCTGACAGCAACAGAGCTTATATTCTCTATTACAAACATGATAAATTATGAGTGTTTTCCCTGGTGAGTGTGGTTCATTTCACAGTTTCCTAATCTCCAGTTCAGTTCATTTTGTTTCAAAGGTGAAGATTTTACTCTGTCTGGTGTCTGAGTAACATTCCACCTTGATAATACACCACCTTCTGCTTATCCACTCATTGTGTGGATGGACATATAGATTGCATCCATATTTCAACATGGATGTGACTGTTCAAGGCATGTTTCCATGACCAGGGTTTAGCATTTTTTCTTCCTGTTAGACTTGTAAATACTGTGAGGCAAAACCTCACTGTGCTGATGTATTTCTGGTCATGTCTGTTTCATCCATGCACATGCCTATTCATATCCTTAACCCACATATTAATGGGATCATCTTCTTGTTATGATTTTCTCTATCCTGGCATTTTCGGGATATCATATCTGGTTGAACACATATAAAGATGTCTACCTTTCAATTCATGGAATTGTCGCTACACTCTGTTGAGTACTGTCACACAAGTTACTTAGCTGGAGGATACTCCTGTGTAAGGTTTTGTTTATTGCTTCTTGGCTGAGGTCAGTTCTCATGCATTTCATTTTCTCTACTAACTGAATGCTTTCAGGTGTTATATTTAGTTTTTCCACAAATCTTGATAGAATATCTAGATGTAGTCTGAATTAGATCCAACATTCTAATATCTGCATGCAAAACAGCAATTTTCACAGCTTACTTTTTAATACAGCTTGGTTTTTAAGAGACCATTCACTAAATATGAGATCGCTCAGCATTTGTAAAGCAATGCACCTCTCAGAATATATACATGGTTTGCTATGGATTTTAACCCTGCCTTATTACAACCTATTACCATGCGAGAGAATTAAATTGACATGATCTTCATGCATATATAGTAAACTGTACTAATCAAATTAGTTGAGTCAATCACACAAAGGGAATGTCTCACAAAAGGCATGCTCACATTTTTTTCATGTATGCCTCTGTGTAATTTGCTTTACTGTGTAATTTCCAAGCCTACTTGCAATAAGAGCTCACACACAAGTTGGGACATGCTGCCTGCACATGGAAAGGAGTAAGTTAATTGATTATGAAGGTGACCATAGATAAGGTAATGGAACATTTATGAAGTTTAGTTCACATCAGTGGAGACACCGTGACAGCAAATTCCCCTGACTTGAACCCATGGCAGTATGATGGCTCAGACCACTGGCATTCGGCCATTAATGTCTCAGGGCATAAAGTGAAGGAAAAGGAAGAATTTCCTAGGACATATGTACCTCCCATCTCTAATTGGATTGCTTTCCTATTTCTAACTCTGCTTCCCATCCAGCTACATCCACTTCTGAGGACAACACAGTTCACCAACAATGCTGGGGATCATGTGTCCCTCCACAAAGCAACACCTCATCAGGAACACTACGATATTCAGAACATTGTCAACTTTCCTGCAGGCCTCCGAGTGATGGTTAACGTTGGAAAGTTTTCCTCTGGGAGTGGACATGACCAAGACCTGGTCATCAGGGAAGACATGATAGAATGGCCTGTTGCATTCAAGGAGGTATGGTTCTGGGGAGAATTCTGGACATGCTCAAAAGGCTCTGGGTGGATGAGGATCCCCTTGGATCTCACAACTTCAGAGTGGAGCACTGATATATTAAAAAGTCACAGGGAACTAAATTCCGTGAGTCTAAGAAAATGCTTACAGCCAGCTTTCCTTACATCCACTCTACCTGGGTCCCTTAACAACCATCGAGAACAGGCAATCCTGGGATGATAGGGATGCAGGGACATCTGTCTTCTAGGCAGCTTACACAGTTGACACAGAGACATAGTTTACACCATGCGTAGTTATAAACAACAAGTCACTGCTTCTAAAGTACTTCCTAAGTCTCATGTACTTTCCTTCCTTGTCTCGATGATAAGCTACAGATGCTTGAAAAGGACAAAAGAAAGCACAGCGGGAGTGTGCTGATAGTACTCTGGCAGAGCCTGTAACATAGGCAATATTCCAAGGGGCCAAATGTGCCTGCCTTCAGGGGCTTGTCTCCATGCACCCAAAAAGAACTAAAGCATTCCTCCCAAGGTTCACACCCCATTGACCAGTACTCAGCACACACTCTTCTAAACTCTTGGCTACAAGTCATGTACTGAGAGGACCCTAATGGGAACCTTAAATAAACACCCAGTTCTCATGTCCCATTTTGGCCCAGAGCTATGGTGCCCCTTGCACATGCATGAGTAAGTGTGTATTTCAGATGCATGGAGTGGTTGAGTGACTTGAATGATAAACGGTGATGAATACAAATCCATTGCCATAGGCATACATCTGCATTAATGAAATGAATGTGATCAGATCCTGACACTATCTGGTAATGAGTTGGAAATCTTGAATGAACATCAAGAAACACTAAAGTCAAGGTTTCAGTGCCATTAACAGGACCAAGACTGCAGAAGGCATACTGATGAGGGCGGGCTTGTGATGGTGATGGGGGATATAGTGGCATCTTCTCCAAGTGTGTCGTGATGTGCCAAACCCTGACCAATGCTTCTTGATGCTCCCGCAGACTCCAACATCTGTGTGTAGCCAGAGCTGTGGGCCAGGATTCAGGAAAAGGCCAGAGGAAGGATCGGCTGTCTGCTGCTACACTTGTGCTTCCTGTGCAGAGGGGGAAATTTCCAATCAGACAGGTATAAAACACATAACTTACCTATGAGAACTCCATTGTCTTAGGCATAGTGGCAGTGGCATCACAGTGTATTGTTGTTCTCCTGGCACACATTCACTCACTCTTTCAAGATAGTTGCTTTAGGGTTACTAATGCCACCTGATTGTATATGACCTACTACCTAACAGTGCTCAGCTGACACGTTGATTCTGTTAGGGAGCCTCCATTACCATCCACTGCTGCATGACACAGTCTGTACCAAGTCCTTTGAGTAAATCACACTGAGTTCTAACCAAGCAGCAGGAGTTGTTTGTTGTCAGCACTGTGTGTGGATTCCTAGAAGGCATGAAATCAGCACTTTTCTATACACTGCTGACAAACAGGGAGCTACTGCACATACACTGTTAGGGAGCTATCGTATTACTTCCTGGTTACATCCTTGACGTTGTGCACATGCGGAGCACTCAGAACCTACACCCAACATTGTCCTTTAGAAGTAGAAAACAGAACAAGAGAAGAATAAAAGACAGCGAAAAATGAAGGTGCAACATGCCAAAGCATGTGAATTTTGGTCATCCTAAGATTTTTCACAAGTTCAAGATTTGACAATTAGATATCCAAATCAAATGCACTGAGCACATGAAAGTGCACTAAGACTCATTGGGAAAGAACTTTATGGTCCAAAATATCCTAGGTAAATCAACTGTTAGACAAATCTTCAGATTTCATCGAGTGTCCCAATGCCAGTCATGGCAGCTGACACAATATTTTGATTTCAGTTTTTCAGACAGCAAGAATACCAGAAAATAATGATTTTTTTCAACACTCATGCAGTTAAAAAATATAAAATGTGACCTATGGAAGAATATAAACCTGTTTGTACCCAGTGTTTCAGTAAGACTGATGACAGAAGTACTTGTAAATTCCATCAAAATTGACAAGCATTTTAAGAAAAGACATGTAACACAGCTCTATTCGGAAATATTGCAGAGATATGTGACCTCTTTAAAAATATTTATTTCTTTATTTGCAACACATTGTAACAGAGAAAGGTGGAGAAACAGAGGTAGACAGAGAGAGAGGTTCCATCTCCCGATTCACTCTCCACATGCACAAAATGCCAAGCAGGAGCTGACCGAGGACTGAAATCAGGAGCTCTACTGTTGCCTTTTTCATGGGTGGTGGATTCCTGAATGGTTGCTTCATCTTAGGACACTTAGCCAGGTGGTGAGCAGAGAGCTGCACCAGAAGTGGAACAGCCAGGACTCCAACTGTTGGGATGATGTCATCACAGGTAGTGGATTTTCAGACATAACACTAGCACTGAGGCTCATATTCCTGCATGAGCATCATGTGCAAACACTAAGAGCATTGATGCAAGTGTTACCCAACTAACAACTCTCTCAGCATTTCACTGATATTTCCTTGAAACAGAGACAAATCCACTTACCAACCTGGCCCTGATGATGTCTTTCATGCTATAGAAGCTCGAGTGATGTATTTCAAGACATACTATCTTGTCTGACACTCAGAGTGATCCTGATACATGGTGTGAAGCAAAAATGTGAATATCCCATGACTCCATTTGAACATGAATGGAAAGCTATAAAAATTACATAATGCAATAAAGATGATGAAAGTATCACCAACCAAAATGATCTCATGTTAATAGTACAGCATCACTCATATCATCCCAGCCTCTATATGGAAGAATTGACAGCAGAAGTCCATGATTGAATTTAGAGTCTGTTTCCAGTGTGGATCTCCTAGAAGTGAGAGATCATTTAATTCTCCATCTATGTGAAAAGGTTTAAACAAACGAACAGAGAAGCATGGGTTAACCCGTGTCAATGCAGTCTTTTCCAGAGGAAGAAATTATGGACTGTAAACACAATGATCAGAATAACTTGCATGCATTAGAATATCAATGAGCAACAGCCTGAGTCTGTAGAGCACAAACTGTGAAACACTTTGCTAAAATGGATTTCTTCAACCTGCAAAAGTAAATTCACCAGGGGTCAGAAATGCAGAAACATACTCCTGTGTGACATAATAGAACACCTTAGCAATATGTACACAAAGGGGCATTGTAGAGTGACCATTTTCCCAACAGGAAAAGATTCTCAGTTAATGCAAGGGAAATCATGAGTCTCTTTCTGTCCTACAGATGCAGAGCAGTGCATCCAGTGCCCACAGCTGGAGTACACAAACACGGAGAGAACTCACTGCCTCCCCAAGCTGGAGACATTCCTGAACTTTGAGGATTCTCTGGGGATGGCTCTGGCCTGCATGGCTCTGACCCTCACTCTCCTCACTGTTATGGTGTTGGGGGTCTTTGTGAAACACCAAGACACACCCATCGTGAAGGCCAATAACCGCAACCTCAGCTACATCCTGCTCATCTCACTCCTCCTCTGCTTCCTCTGCTCCTTCCTCTTCATTGGCTGTCCCAACACTGCCACCTGCCTCCTAAGACAAATCACATTTGCCCTGGTGTTCACAGTGGCTGTTTCTGCCGTGCTGGCCAAAACCATCACTGTGGTTCTGGCCTTCAAGGCCATGAAGCCTGGAAGGACCATGAGGAGATTGCTGGTGTCAGGAGCCCCAAACGCTGTCATTCCCATCTGCTTCCTCATCCAATTGACTCTCTGTGCCATCTGGCTGGCAACATCTCCTCCCTTTGTGGACACAGATGCATACTCTGAGCATGGACACATCATCCTCTTGTGCAATGAGGGCTCCATCACTGCCTTCTACTGTGTGCTGGGCTTCCTGGGCTCATTGGCGCTGGGCACCTTCACTGTGGCTTTCCTTGCCAGGAAGCTGCCTGACACGTTCAATGAAGCCAAGTTCCTGACATTCAGCATGCTGGTGTTCTGCAGTGTGTGGGTGACCTTCCTGCCTGTGTACCAGAGCACCAAGGGGAAGGTGATGGTGGCCGTGGAGGTCTTCTCCATCTTGGCCTCTGGTGCTGGGCTCCTGGGCTGCATCTTTCTTCCCAAATGCTACATTATTCTCATAAAGCCCGAGAGGAATTTGTCGAAAAGCTTCAAGAAAACAACAGGTTCCAAATGAGTCTGACAGTTTTCCTAGGAGTTTTTGACTGAATTACCTTCAGATGCGAAAAATATCAGGAGTGACTTTCTCTCTAAATACTACTTGTGCAAAGTACAATTAGCCTAGCTGCTACATAGAATGAATGTCCACCTCTGGCTCTGACCTGCTCTCTGATCTCTGTTTGGGTATCCTGGCTCCAGACCCATGAATTGGTTTGACTCCTCTTGTTGGTTCTTGTCACAACCCTGAAATAAATATTGCAATGATGAGATGTGATATAGGGTGGGAAGGGTCTCATTTTGTCACGATTCTCTGTGTCAGTCCCTGAAAATTAGTAATAGGCTTTCGAAAAATTTCTAGGTTGAGTAAAAATATTCATGATGTGAATCAAATCTGAGGTCATGTACCAGATACAAAAGCCCGTCACTTTATGTTACATGGTTTTTCTGCGATGCCAGAGATTGAATTAATTTGGATTATTTACTAATGTGGGGTCAATATTTTATATTTGGTAAGTCAATTAATACTCACTGGTTTTATGGTCTGCACCCCTGACTTGCTGAGTGTCAGTTTTTGACCTACATGCATTTTAAGGGAGTTTTTTCCAGGATACAGAATTCACTTAGTCATGCGAACACTGTATGAGCACCGTATGAACACTGGATTGGCCCAAAGCATCTTGATCAATGCTGCCTAGAACACTGTTCTAGAACATTCTCCTTATCACTTTGAATGGATTGGCCATGTCTACAAGGTACTGATACCATAATTGTATGTTCTTCATTCCGTACAACTTTTTGGCAATACCTCTGTTTACAAGTTTTCTCTTCAATGGCACATGCGCACACCATGTTGTTTTGAATCATATTAAAATCTCACATCCAGAATGAACAGTTTTAGGTTGGACGCACCTGTGGCAGGCAAGTATCGCCACACTGCTTGGGCACATCCTGATTTGGTACAGTTTGCTCATATGTTTGCATAAGAATCTCCTCTCTGTTGACTGGATGTGGTTCCATTACTCTGTAAACAAACAACATACCCTCTCCAATGCCCTCAGCCTCCGTGTATGCAACCAACCCTCTCCTTCACTTTATTTTTTTTTAACGATTTATTTTTATTATTTTTTTTATTGGAAAGGTGGATATACAGAGAGGAGAGATAGAGAGGAAGATCTTCCGTCCGATGATTCACTCCCCAGGTGAGCACAACGGCCGATACTATGCCGATCCAAAGCCAGGAGCCTCTTCCGGGTCTCCCAAGCAGGTGCAGGGTCCCAAAGCTTTGGGCCGTCCTCGACTGCTTTCCCGGGCCACAGGCAGGGAGCTGGTTGGTAAGCAGGGCCATGAGGATTAGAACCGGCTCCCATATGGGATCCCGGGCGTGCAAGGCGAGGACCTTAACCACTTGCGCCACCGAGCCGGGCCCTCTCCATCACTTTCTAATTCATCACACTGCCCATTATTTGGCTTCTTCGAGGAACTAAGGACAAGAGCAGATATTAATTAGATTAATGGAAGATATCAAATGAACTCTAGACAACAAGAAGTAGGTACAGCTTTCATTGTTACTATCTATTTTTTTCTTACCCACAGAAAATATTTGGTAGGTGTTACACCCAAGTACAGTCAACCATTAGAAATACAATTGCAGTAGGCAAACAGTTGCAATGATGTAACTATGAATTTTGCAAATGCCAAATCTTCAAGCTTCTGAAGACTTACAGAACAGTTGTCTAAACAATGGAATATCACTTATGTCCTGTAGAATGCACATGTGACCCAGATGACAAGGTATTCGTCATATTCTATCAATTACCTGTAATCAGAAAATCAGAAACTTTGCAGTTCCTCACACTGAGCCCGGCATATGCTTGCAATGGAAGAACCTCAACTGAACTTGAACTGTGGCAATGTAGCAAGGTGGAAGAATCCACATGGGGGAAGGTGGGGGAGGGGTTATTCCAGTGTCTAAAAAACTGTGTCACATAATGCAATGTAATAAAAAAATGGATAAATAAAATGAAATTTTACAAAAATCAAAGGAAAATTACATTGTCATGTAAGAGTCCAGGAAGAGAGCCAAGCCTTGTGATTTTCCTTTTAACGTTATTAATAGCATGTAGATGTAGAACTGTGTGGATTCCACATGTACATGTCTATCAAGATGGTCTTAGCACATAGTATAAGGTATCTTTAGATAAGACAGGTGAAATTTGAAGTTTCCTGCATGGAAACATAAATCTTGACCCAATAAACCTGAACTTTCATTTCACTTTTTGAGCTCTCAAAACTACCCCTTTGGATAGGCACTTGTGCAACCCACAGAAATATCCAAGTGGCAAATCCATTGGAGGGGTATCCTATCAGTAACGATGCTTGATCTTCTTGACAGAGCATCATATGAAATAATGAAACTGAGTGTGTGTGTGTGTGTGTGTGTGTGTGTGGTTGCCTGCGTGCATGTATCTGCATGTGTAATTGCTCTTGAGAATTCTAAACAGTGTATAGAGAAGCTGCAGAAAGGCACAACAATGAAGGATGTTGTACACTCCCTTCCTTTGCCTTACATACTCTTCCCTTCCCACTTTTCTGTTTGCTCCCTCATGCCTTCAAAGAGAGAAAATGGAGGGCAGAAATGCAAACATCAGAATATGAGGTTGGGAGAGGAGATAAGAGGTGATATTTTATACCCACTCCATTGATCTAACCCCTCATTAGCTCCTGAATCTTCTGAGGTGAGTGAGGCAGTTAGAACTCTAGTCTCAATCTCTGCTGACTAGGGCATGAGAGTATATTACCATCTCCAGGATGGAGAATGGGCTTGAGGTCAGTATTAGTTCCAGTCGTGCCGTCTGAGTGTTCACCATAAGAAGTTGTGAACATACTATGCCCAGACTTGGGAAAGAGCTCTGTGGCCACAATCTTCCTACTCCAGCTCTGATTAAACTTCCATCCTAAGCACTACATTAGTGATGCATATCCCTGGACCTGATCCACTTTATGCTATTGTGTCCATGAACACTCAGTGTCATTCTAAATCTATAATCCCACACTTCACTCAATATTGGACACTTCAAATGTCACTCAGTTTGCACACCTCTGTGGAATAAGCTAAGGAGTATTTTGATTGGCAAGTTTTACTGGTTGGAATTATGGGGCACATTGTTGGATCCTGAGGTATGCTTTTTTCAGCAGCTTTTACTACTTGATTTCAAAGACTTGCTGGTCAGCCTGCAGCTTGCCCATCACTGTCACAAATCCTCATTCCTGTTTCAGTGTGTCTCCATTCCTCAGTCCTTCCATTGTGCCCAGTATACCCCCAATCCACCTATATGTTTCTGCATTTTATGAACGCTACTCTTGGTTGTTTGCTAACCAGCAGGTCCCGAGACTATCAAGTGGTGAGGGGACAGTTTTCTTTTACAAAGAACCATCAGATACAATCAGGTGAGGGATGTTCATTTATCAGAGAGAATTTCAGACTTACATAGAGTAAAAATGGAAGGGAAAAGTGTGTTCCGATGGTGCTCTCACCCAACAACCACACTGTAACTGATAAGTAGGCATGCCTATCTCTCTGGGCTCTCCAGTCCCAGGTCACATTGCCCACGCATGCCTGGAAGCTGTGCTTAGGGCAACCGGCAGGTAGGTCGAGATTCATGGGTCCACAAAGCTAGCACCTGAGCTGAAAGCTGTATTTTGGGGCATATTCATTGCACTCTTAGCAGTAATAGCAAAGGTACCAAGTTTGAGAGAACAAAGCTTCCACTCAGACATATAGCACTAGAGCACTATTATTAAATTCCATCCTTTTTCCAAGCAAGAGGGAAAGATGCAGAGAAGTTCCAGGAAAAGAATACAAAATGGCAAAAATAGAATGCATGGTGCCCAGTGGCTTGGCTTGGTGCCTCAAGTCCTCACCTTAAAAGTGCCAGGATCCCATATGGGCGCCTGTTCTAATCCCGGCAGCTCCACTTCCCATCCAGCTCCCTGCTTGTGGCCTGGGAAAGCAGTGGAGGATGGCCCAAGGCCTTGGGACCCTGCACCCACATGAGAGATCCGGAAAGAAGTTGTTGGCTCCTGGCTTCGATTCGGCATAGTACCAGGTGTTGCGGCCACTTGGGCAGTGAATCATTGGAGCGAAGATCTTCCTCTCTGTTTCTCCTCCTCTCTATACATCTGCCTTTCCAATAAAATAAATAAATGTTAAAAAAAAAACTCCTCCCAGAACCTCAGTGTGCAGAAAATGAATCATGCCTCTATTTCTTTTTCAGTTGTTCTTCTGAATGAAGATTTATTGACTTTCACTGTAGTAACTTTCAAAGTGGTATGAAGCCGATTGCAAAAAAGGGAACGGTGAGATTTTGTTTGTTTGTTTGTTTGTTTTAAAGATTTATTTTTATTAGTATTTCTTTTTTTAAAAAATTTTATTGTTGTTTACATTGTATTATGTGGTACAGTTTTATCGGCGCTGGGGATTCCCCCCAACCCTTCCATACCCTTCCCCCCATGGTGGATTCCTCCACCTTGTTGCATAACTATAGTTCAAGTTCAGCTGAGATTCATTCCTTGCAAACACATGCCTAGCATAAAGTCCAGCGTCTTATGGTCCAGATAAGTTCAGTGGCCTCTTGGGGAGACCTTCTCTGGTCTGAAGGTAGGGCTAACAGAGTAAAGATCTGGTCAGTTAAAAGCCCCAACAAAACCTCAGTATCTATATACAACATTATGGAATTAATTGACATAGTATTGGGTAAACAATCTGTTAAAAAATAATGCAAGTTCCATTCTTCGAAACATCTGGGTTGAGACAGTATCAATGACAGGTTCAAAAAATAACAAACAACCAAACAAAAAATTACAGGTTAAACCAAGGCAAACATGTGGTATGTAACCTTTTGGGATTCGCTCATTTCCCTTAGCATTATAGTTTCCAGTTGGGCCCATTTAGCCACAAAGAACTGCATTTTGTTTTTTTTTAATAGCTGAGTAGTATTCCATGGAGTAGATGAACCA